TTGAGAGGTGACACACGTTCAGTGTTGCTGGAATGTATGGTCACTTAGTAGTTATAGAAATTCATACTGTAGTATAAACTTTATACACGACATCGGGTAAATGTTGCCGAACCTTGCAAGATTTCCCGCAAAATTTTAACCTCCTTTTTCTATAGATATGCCGTGGAACTCTCAGAGGAGCACGCGAAATACTTTGCTGCTCTTGATGAAGTAAAAGCGAGAGAAGCGAGGGTTTCTGAGGTGAGCTGAGATGATACGAGGGCGGGTATGTGTGTGGCATTAGATAGAGAAGATGGTGGAAAAAGAAGAGGAGAAACTTCAACAACAGCAAGCACTTTACGATTCAGTTCGAGCAGATAGGAATTTGTATTCTAAGAGCTTGATCGATTGCAACGCGGAAATCGAGGAAATGAAGAGAAAGTTTAAAATAGCATTTCACAGGTTATCAGACTGGACACTGCTGAGGAGGAGTTTTTGATATTTTGTGTGAATTAGGATTGAGCAAGTGAACAGTGAAGTGAGGAAAAAAGAGGCGAAAATTGTGAATGTGGATCTCGAGAGAACGAGAATTGCCCGAGGAAATGATAGAATTAAAGAAAGCCTCGACAGTGGCTTGGAAAGAATACAAGGACTTAAATGCATTGGTAACCTTTAAGAAAGAATGATATGGTTTTATTGGAGTTTCACCACTCTAGTGATATGAAAAACAATAGTGAAAAATATATTTCACGACTACTGCATATCACCGCGAATATCGCGTTTTTCACAGGGTATTACGCCACTTCATGTGAAACGTGTGAAACTTCATTGATTGTTGGTTCAGTTGATGTACAAAAAGGAGAATCTGAGAAACTCAAAGTGGTTATGGAAGAGGCAGAAGGGGAGGTGACCAATTACGAGAAGGTGAGAGTCCGGACCTGTTTTGTATCTTCCGTGGGAGGACCTAAGATACTCTCCTCTTGTAGGCGCTCGAATCGGTGGTGTCAGAGCGTGAACTGCTCGAAAAGCAACTGTCGAACCGTGAGGCTGAGGTGAAGAAGATGTATGAGAAAATACGTCTGCTGGAATCCGACTTGCGTCAAGGTGAGATGATGGGAAATTATTGCCAACATGTGAGATTTGGTAATCCCTACCTTTTTCTGCGCTTCACTAAGCGTCGTAGGCAGTGTTGGGATGTATGTTTGATTCCTTCACTATATTGGAGTTTCACCATCCTAGTGATATGGAAAACGCTAGTGAAAAATATATTCCACGATGACGTTTTTTACAGAGTATTACGCCACTTCACGTAAAACGGGTCGCGAAACTCCATTATGAATAATCGCACACAAAAGATACGATAACTCTATCATACTTCGTCAATAACACATGATTAGTTTACTATGTGCATATTTTCCTACACTACCTATAGGAGACACTACATTCAATGGCCTGTTGAAAGATCGTCGGGGTGTTGATCGACAACTACTTGCATTGCGAAGAGAAATAAATGATATGAAACTAGAGTGAGCTATTCTGTTGGCATTATTAATAACAAATTTTGCATTTTAGAGTTGCCGAAGGGAAATCACTGTTTCAACAGAAGATGCGTTTGAGCAAAGAAATACAGGTATGGTTGCTGTTGGGGATGTGCTCAATGTTTTCCTCATATCAGGCGGAGGTTCTCAAGTGCAGTAAGCTCCAACAGGAGCTTGAGAAACCGATGAATATTCACCGTTGGCGAAGACTCGAGAGTTCGGACGTGAGTGCTTGTAGGTCTCAATTCTCGAAATGGAAGTGGTTTCAGTTGAAGACATTTGAGGCGTTGAAGAGGATTCGTGAATTGCAGCATAGACTGATTCAAGCACAGGTGAACATTTCGTTATTGGAATTATTGAATACATTCATGACAGGAGAAAGTTGTTGAGAAAGAGAAGGAAATCAGCAAAAAAGAGTCGGAATTCATGTCACTGAAAACCGCGCTGCAGAGGCAACCTGGACCAGAGATCCATGACCAGATACTGCTACTTCAACAAGTGAGCAAAGACGTGGTTTATGTGATTGAACGTGTGCTGTAGGCGGTGAAGGATAAGCAAGGTCAGCTGACGGCACTTGAGAGGAGCATGAGAGGGTTCCGAGAGCAATGTGATGAGAACAGCGCTGAGGTGAAGAGACTGGAGAAGCAGAGGAAGGAAATGAATGACGAGTTTATCGAGAAGTGTAAGGACGATATGGCCTGAGTCGACTGTATAGTCTTTAGTTGTTCAGCACGACAGCCCCTATCGGCGAGAAATCATTTATTGTCCTCACAAGAGCTTAGTGTGGAGGAAGATTCATCAACTTCCGGGCTCGTCGTTGGTTCTTGATGGACGCACTACGTCTAAGGGAGCGATAATAACATGTTCATACACGTCCTTTCCAACACACTATATGCCGATACGCATATGTTGAGTTGTAGCAAGAGTACATGGACGAATGGAGTGGCTGCACAGCTCGTACTGGGAATCTTAGAAACGGCCTTTCTAACGATATTTCTGGACGGGATAGAAGTTCATTTTCGTTCTCGTGAGGTATTATGGAGCTTTCGAGGAGCTTATGTGCAGGCAGAGTGGAAGATATCGAGCTGTGTGAGTTTTCTCTTGGTGTTCACAATTTCTTAAATATTGCACATCCTACAGAGTTGAGTCCCACACAAGTCAAGGAAAGATATGTAAAAATAGAGTGACCTGAATGGCGACACCGCTTGCCGTGTCACTCGCGTCGTCCATCATTACTCACAGAAGACTCGAATATTGGAGTACCTCAAGAGTGAGCTTAAACGATAGACTGAGAGAAGTCCTTAGATCTCAATCTAATCAGTCCTTAGATCTTAGATTGATATCAGTCAGCTCGGGGACTATTTGGAGAACTGTTAAATCGACTTTCCACTCACAATAATGAACGACTCAGCCCAATCAGGAATCTGTGCTCCCTCAAGTTGGCTGTTTCATAAGTAAACTGGTAGTTATCATAACTTATGATGGGAGTGAAACATGAAGGGATACTATTATGAACAATTCTCTTCCTGTTGATGTATAGCATTAGATCAGGAGCGGAGTTATAGATCTACTCCTCCAGTAAAAGTCGGTATTTTGAGGCGCAATTTTTAAACGTGTATGCTAAGAATATGTGGAGAAAACTTTTTACCAATCTTCGACTTCTCACTAACTACGAAGAGTTAGGCCCTTCTGAAACTTGGAGGTCATATCAGGTAAAGCATAAGTACATACCTCCCTGAGCCGCAAGATGATACTCGTTGTGGTGGCTGTGCACGAGTCGAAAACCGGATAGGCTAAGAATATGTGGAGGGGTGGGTGTATTTGGCGGATGCGGCCGTTATGAATGAAGACTACGATATTCAGGAATCTCTTCAGTGAACGGGGCCGCAATGCCTGAGGACTATACTATTTAGGAATCTATTTGGTGAATGGGGCCGCTATGCCTGAGGACTATTCTATTTAGGAATCTATTTGGTGAATGGGGCCGCTATGCCGGTGGTCAGACTTCCACATAAGAGAGTGGAGATATCAATTTGGTGATTGAGCTCACATGAGGGCAGCATATCAGGGAAAAGGCACCTCAGCTAAGCTGAGTCAGCTTAGGGAGGTGCCGTTTCTTGGAAAGAGGAACTTCAATCCCGCCGCCGCCGCCGATGAGGACACCAACTCAAAGGCACAGCTTCGGCTCGTCAAAGTAGTCCATCACTCCACCTTCTCAAATACTATGTAACTAGGCCGTCCACAGTAGTCACGTTATGGAACCGCAGCAACAGAGATGAGGTTCTCTTGCTGTTCATCCGAGGGAGGTCTCTGGACGGCAATGCGCCCTCCTTGAACTATCAAGTTCGTTCTCCCGCCTATCACGATCGACATCATGGTTGGTAAACTGACTTGTCCCATTGGCTCCAGAATGAGTCATTTGCAGACGCGTCCATGTTGAAGAAAGCTGAACACAACACCAGTTCATATTAACTATTCTCCAGGCCTTTGAGGCTCAACTGATAGAAAGATTAACGAAGTCGGATTATGTCGGTTCCGAAAAAGCACGCAGAAAAAATATGTCAGATTCCGTATCTTTTGTTCAATCTTTCTCGGGAGCCTCCTTATCGTAACCA